AGCCGTGCCAGGTGCAGGGTCTGCTGGCTGGGTGCTGGCAGGCTTGCACCTGGCACGGGCACCGTAGCCAGCCCGTGCCCCTTTAAGGGGTCCGGGGTCGGGAGGGGAGCATAGAGTTTCCCTGGTGTTGGCCAGAGTGGCCACCAGGGAAACCTGGGGAGAGCTAGCCTCCCACTAGTTCAAATTAAGGGGCTACACACCCCTTAATTCGAACTAGCTAGTTCGAACTAGGCTTAATCCTTGTAAAATGAGGTTTTCCTAGTTCGAACTAAGCGCTCTGCTAGTTCGAATTAAGTTCGAACTAACGGAGCACTAGTGTAGCGCCTATGAAAGTTAATTCGAACTAACATCCGTTAGTTCGAATGAACTTTGTAGTGTAGACATACCCAGGGTGATTAAACACTGGAATAAAATTGCCTACGGGTGTTGTGGAATCTCCATCTCTGGAGATATTTCAGAGCAGATTAAACAGACACCTGATGATCTATGCTTGGTCCTTCTATGACAGCAGGGGACTGGATTCGATGACCTCTCGAGGTCCCTTCCAGTTCTAGTGTTCTATAACTCTATGATCTATGGATCAGATCCAATATGAAGTCCAAGGCAGTCTTTTCATTAACTTCAATGTAGTTTTAGATTAGTCCCCTTATGGAATAAGAGATACATAAATTAATATGAAACCATATGATCTAATCCAAACCTCGAAAATTATAAATTATAATTCAAAATGTGACTATTTCTGTAATGTTAAATATCACATATAGATCCAAGATTCAGATCAATGCCCAGCATGACAAAGCCCTCAACTATGTACTTCGCATTTTCCAGAGTGGCTACTCTCTGTAGAGGTAGGGTATTGATTGCTTTGGCTACTTGGATCACAACAGCGCCTATTGTAGATTTCCCCACTCCAAATTGATACTCTACTGACTGGTGGCTGTCTGGTATTGCAGGCTTCTACAGAACAATTGCCACTCACTTCTCCACAATCAGAACGGGTCTCATTCTGGTATTTTTCCACTTCAGGTTGGGGGAAAGCAATTCACAAACTTCAGTGAAAATGGTCTTACACATACAGAAGTTTTGCAGCCACTGCTGATTGTCCCATAGCTGCATCACAATGCAGACCATCCAGTGTGTGCTTGTCTGCAGCACCAGAACTGGCGTTCCACTGTGTCCAGAGGATTGAATACCAGTGACATTTGCAATTCACTCAATTCAAGTGCCTGAGATTCTTCCTCTTTCTGATAGACACTGGATACACTCTGGACATACGCCAGCATTAGACACACCAAGGTTATCATCATCATAATGCTTTGATGCTCAACAGGATCCAGGATGGGGACCACATTTATGCTGCTAAGGCATCTGTACAGAGAACCAATAAGAGAAAAAAAGGGCACGAAAAGAGTGTTTGCTGTTGGTCTTAAGTAGGGCTGTCAATTAGTGGGCCTTAATGCCTGTGATTAACACAGGGCAGAATTAACACGTTAAAAAATTAACTCTCATTAATCGCAGAGGTCAGCAAACCAGCATGAGTAAGGCTCTGGTAAGTCACAGTAATGCAAACTGCCACCAGAGGGAGCACAGGAAAAAAACAAGCAGCCAGTAAGGAGGAAAAAAACCTGAAGATGTGGTTCCAGCTCCAAGGGAAAAGTAAACAAGAAAAGTAAAGACCCTGACACCCGTCCCTCTCCCATCCCAGGTGACCATATTTTTAAAAATAAAAAAGCCTGGGAGAGGGCTTGCCCAAGCTGTCCCCCTTCCCCGCCAGCAGGGTTTACCCAAGCCATCCTGTCTTTGCCTCCTGGGGCTGGGACTGACCCTCCCTCTACATCTGATTCTGGGGCTGAGTCCCCCCCACCTTCCCTCCTGAACTCTGTACTGCCCACGGTGTGGTGTACTTCCCCCTACCCCCAAGCCAGGGCTGACCCCTCCCCTGAGTTTGGGAGCTGACCCTCACATGAGCCCTATGCCACCTGCAGTTGGGAGCTGATCCCCACCCCGAATTCTGCACTGCCCACAGCAGAGTCTACCCCACTGCAGCCCTGTGCCACCCGCAGCTGAGGCTGAGCTAAAAAAGGATTCTTCTGAATAGGAGACAAATATATTGATTATACAGAAGAATTTAAGTTCAGCTTTCATGACAGAATTTGCACTACAATACTTCAGTGAGGTAAACTGAATTTTTTTTACCGTTTAAATGTTTTGTAATAAAAAAAAATCAAGTGAGCACTATACACTTTGCATTCTGTGTTGTAATTGAAATCAATATTATTAGAAGATGTAGAAAACATCCAAATATATTTAAATAGATAGTATTCTTATTATTGTTTTACAGTGCAATTAATCATGATTAATTTTTTAAATCGCTTGACAGCCTACTCTTAAGCACAGGAAGAGGGAGGAAATGAGTACATTATGGGTCACTCACTCCTTGTAGCTACAACCACTGCACTGCACAGTTTTGGTCCCAGGTGTACTGCAAGCATAACCCAGAATGCAAAGGGTTGCAGGTACTATGGGATAGCTACCCACAATGAATTGCTCTCAAAATCTTCGGTCGTCACCCTTCTAGGCAAAAACTACTTCAAACTACACCAAATTCTTGTGTACAGTGGAGACATGTACCTTTCACATTACAAAATTGGATGCTAAAAATCAAGCTGAATAAATTCAACCTTCTCTCTGTGTGGTCATGGCCTAAATGTGCAAAAAGTTTAAGATCTCCCTAATTCCTTACGCTCCTGGATTGGCCCGTGTGTGCATCTAAATGGGAGCACCAAAGTGCTGTTTTCCTACTACCAGCACCCCGAAGCCAGGAGTAGGTGTAGACTTAGTTACATTCTATGCATCGGCCAGCTTCGCTGAAGCTTAGCTGAGCCAGTGTTCGGGAAGAAAGAGAAGAAATACCAATAATAATTTTATACCAGCATGAACCAAACAACAAATGACAATCTTCATGCAGCAAAGAAAGACAGACAACGGCAACATACTGTTTCTTGTAACTCAGGGCAAACTGCATTTGCAATGACTAGCCCAGAGTTGTGTCAAATGCATAAATAAAGCAAAAAAACCTCTCAGTTATAACTACCTTATTCATTACTTGAAACAATGGTGGGTAAAAATACTCAAGTGTGTTTCAAGATTAATTTAAATAACTACAGCCAATGAGGTATCAATATTACGTAGCATTTCCAAAATCTTATTAACACACTCAGAGTAGACAGAAGCAGATGTCATAATCTCATTTGTTTGGAAGATACACCATACACAAACAGGCAAATATTTCATCAAACATTCTTTTTTATTATACAGTTGCGGGCACTTTTTATACCCTTGTAACATCACGTGAAATTGGTATTTACACTGACAACAGCCTAAAGATAGCAGGCTCGCATATTTCAGCCTTTTGATAAAATATGGGACAGAAGCAGCTAAATAAATAAATAAATATTAGATACTTTCAGTGATCCTACAGTCATCTTACACAATATCACAACAGGTCAGTACTGAATCTTATTTCCTACCTGCTAAATTTTATGATTTGGTGAAATTGAAGAAAAGCCCTGCAAATTGTCAAATATCCGCTATGTATCTATTGC